ACCAATTACAACCTGCTGAGGGTAGGAACCCGAACGAACAACTATCTGATGATAATGGAAATAGTAACCGATCTAATCCGTGCCATGGATACAATTTACGAAATAAAAAAGTCAACTACCGTAAGTTGCACTTCGGTAATTGACAACTTTTTGTATGGGGCATATGTGGCTACAAGCCATAATTGTATAGTTATAATTCATATTTTCTTTATATATTTTCCTTTGTCTTCCTTTTCTATTGTCTTTCTGGAAGTTTCTTCCCTCTTTTGTTTAACGGTGGAACAGCGGGGGACCCCTGTGAAACAAAGGGGAAGGTGTGACCCTCAGGGTAAAAAGGGGTACAGGAGGGCATTCTGGTAGAGAGTACGAGACGGAAAAGGACGTGTGAAGCAAGCTCTTGGAGGTATTGGAACCGAGTGGAAACCAGAACGAACTTTAGGAAGAGAAAAGAAAACGGAGGAGAACGAATACTGGGAAGGTTGCTTTCATTCGTTCTAAAGTGTCTAGTGAAATCAGAAAGTCCGTCGGAAAGAACTTTTCATTCCCCGTGAAACACGCCGGAAACATTTGGGTACCCAACTTCCTTTGTCTTTCACCTTTATCTCTTAGTTTCTGTCTTGTCTAAAATCTAGTTTTCACTTTTAGTATATAATCATTAGCCGTAAGTTTAGCCCTAAGATTTGAGTGTATAGTTTATTAGTAGAATAGTTATTAAAAGTAAGGAATTGTCGAATTATTTAATTTTGTTTGTTGAGTCTATGTTGTTAATATTAAGATATATTGTCCAGGGATAGAGATAATAGCTGGCATCTTAAAAATATTTCCTGTACTCTGTACGCGAATAAAAGACCTTTATATTGTAAAAATTGTCTCTCTTTGTTAACGGTATTCGCGATCTTCACAAAAGTAAGTGACAATGCAAAGTCCATTGGATGTAACTTTAGCACTCCTAGTGGCAAAATACAGAAGAACTAAAGAAAACTAAGAAATTAACAGAGATAAACAAAAAAATTCTAATTGCAAAATGAAAGAGAATTATTTATTTAGTACAAAATAATATTTGGTTTATCAGAAACACAGGAAAGAGCAAAAAAACCAAGAAAGTAGTAAATAGTTATGCACAAAACAACACAGATGTAACATAAAGTTTGTGCAGCACAGATGCAACTAACTTGCCTAGTAGTATACTTTACTCAGTGTTCAAAGTGACAACGTACTTTTGGATTCGAGATGGGACAGAACATCTCAAATAGTATGCAGCATTGCATGGACTACAGAATTATAGGCATTGATGCACTCCTTTAAATTTGTCATGGTGAAAAGTTCTGTAACAAAAAACTTGATTTTTCAGGTCTCTCCAAATGAAGAAGTTCATTGGTGATAAGTATTGGATGATTGTGTTGGACATCATTCCATACAACCACCATATCCAATAATTGTGTTGCCAAATGTAGGAAATTAGTTTTCTGCCAATGCTTTCTTAATGTTCTACAATGTTCTTTCCTGTAAGTGTTAAAACTGAATGAAGTATTGTTTTGTTCTAAATAAACAATGCTCTTTCATTCTGTAATTGAAATTTTTTACCTAGTTCTATTAGTTTCTTAGTTCCTTATTTCACTGCTAAAGATGCTAAAGTAGCATTCAATGGATTGCACATGACCACTTTCGTATAGGTGGCAATTACCTCTGTGGTGCTACAATAGGTGGTTTAAAAGTTATGAGATGTATAGACTTTCCTTTGAACTTGTATAAGAGCTGTTGCAAATGAAAGTGATTTTTAAATCAAGATATTTAAAGGTTTGTATTAGTATTGATTCAAAAATATCAGCAACTGATACTATGTTAGTATAATTTTTCTCTGATTTTAATTATAGGGTGTTTCAAAATGATTAAAATGATTTCACATTGTTACAAATATAGTTTATAAATTGTCAAAACAAGATGTAAATTTCACACACGTGTAATGGAACTGTCCAAGTTTAATTGTCAGTGGGTAACATGAAATTGGCTGTCACAATTGCCCAATGTGAGCTCTCTACACAAAAAATATTGTTAATTTATTACTATTTTGTTTTATTTTATACTTTTTTGTTTATTTGCTGTTGTAATTTATTTTGATTTTACTTTACTAAAAAATTATAATTAAATAAAAATTAATAAAATTATTTTAAATTAAAAAAAAACAAAGATTCAAATGTAATAGCATTCTTATGAATAGTAAACCAAACGATCACCATAATTAATCAAGCTATTTTTTCGCTACTATTAATAATTAGATATTAAGTAATTTGATATTAGAGATAAATGTTAGGCACCATCTCTTATTGAAATAGATAATTATAATAATTTAATATTTATTAAATAATTTTAGAATAGTCTGGAGAAAAAAATCAGCTCGGAGTGGGATTTGAACTTTCAACTCCCACTTACCATGCAATAATGTTGTCAGTTATGCCATCCAGACCTCTGAGTAATTCTTTGTTTCTAGACATATTTAATTCTTGATATAACAATCCACAGTTACTCACAGCACCAACTGGGGACTACTACTACTACACCACAACCTATATAATCACTCACTATGGCACTTAGCCAGCTATCACTTTACCCTGGCATGATACTGTATACAGGTTGACATTCAAAAATCTGGCCATCAATAATCTGGTTCCTTCAGAATGTCAACATGGATTTCAGAGCACATTTTCAAATTTGCCACGTTGGTGCCAACGTGGCAAATTTGAAGGTACTTAACTAAAATTCTGTAAAACTGTTTTATTTATTTTAGATTAAATTAGTTAGCCTAATAAATAGGGTTGTAATACATTGGGGGACTTATCACAACAGGGACTGAATGGAATAATAATATCTGCTTTATTTAGTTGATGAACATTAAAATTTCATTTGCTTTCATTTCATTTAGTGTTTAATTTTCTTTCATTAAACGATTATACAGGTAGTCATTCTCTGTTATATATATACATCATATATAAATATAAAAAATCCAGCACTTCTCAGGTCTGGAGTTTGCTGGATTTTTGAATGTCAACCTGTATATATATAAACATCACTAAGCCCAATGTATTTGTTCTAAAGCATTGTAATTTCCCAACAGATGATGATCTTTTAAAAGGCTGAAAACATTTCTGAATAAAAAGTTTGTTTTGGTTCCTGAATTTAGCATTTTTTTTCATCAGTTTGAACATGGTGACAAGTGAAAATGTTATTCTTTTTGTTTCTCATCTTTAAAATTATAAATATCAAAATTTTTGCAATAATTAGCTGTGTAATTTTAAAAATAAAACACACCCTTTAGAAAACTCCTCAAATAAATTCTATTCATACTACTTTTTTCAAAGTGAAAAAACGTCTTAGAAAAAACAAGCATGTCTGAGATCAACATCAACGAAACAAGAAAAATTTCTTCTTTTGACTCTTCATGATGGCAATATTATATAATCCAAGTGCTTTTGAAATGTAAGTTTTTGCTCTGAGAAAAGCAAATAAATTGATTTAAAAATAAGCTTATTAGGATGACACAGTGGCATAGTGTGGGTGTCAGCCGCCTGGAGCGGAAGAAAATTTCGTCCCCCTTATTTAGATATCTCAATTTAAAAGACTAAAATTCAGTTTCGTCACAGAATAAGTAATGAAAAATTCCATGCTTGTGTTGCCACTTTTTTAAAATCGCTGACCCGGATGGCAGGTGAGGTTTGTTCAAATGGAAGTTCCTGATGCATGCGTATGTCATTTTGCAATGCGAAGAATAATTTGCAGTGCATGCTGGTTCTAAATCAGTTACAGTTAGCGACTAGGGAGATTTGGATAGGAGTAACGCAAGTGACCTAGCTCTACTCTATTGGATATAGAAGGTATATATATACGAATAATCGTACAAGCAAAAAAAAAATATGAAATATTTTATATGAAAATATGAAATAAAATGGTTCAAATTCTTTGAAGATATTATTATTTTATTTATTGTCAAATTTTGCCCCCCTAAAACATAATTTTATCGCTCCCTAAAAAGTGCCGCCTGGGGTGGGCCACCCCTGCCGCCCCCACTATGCTACTGGGATGACACTTATTGTATTGTGTGTCTAAACTTCTCGAAAGTTCTCTGAAATGACTATTACTTAGATTGGGAATATTTACTAGAAATTTACCAACTTTCAAGCTACAAATTCAAATAGGAGTGTATAATGATATCAATTATAGCATGGATTGAACATATAAAAAATGATAAAGAGAACCAGACAAGAGGTATAGATGTACTTGATAGTTTAGGGATGAATGTCATATGCTATCACAATTTTTCAAGTTCTTGGCATTTTTTAAATTTCATCAACAAGATTTTCAAGGAAAAGCTGTTTGATGAGTTTGTAATTGCAATTTAAAATTAGCATATACTACATTATGTAATCTGTGAGTAATTCATATGAAAATACACTAATCATATTATAAAAAGAATATAGTAAAATCCTATATTGTTTTCTATTAAATTATCAAAGAATCAAAATTACACCATGTTTCTATTTGTCAAGATGTTGAACTGTTGACTTTCAAAAGTTTTTTCTAGTCTAAAAGTCCATTTAAGCTTACTTAATCTAAAAATTGCCAATAACTTCTACCAATAGTTTATAAATGTATATATGATGATAACAGTAAATACCACATTTTTTGCCTTGTGTGATACATCATTGTATTGGATGCATCACATTTTTCCATAAATTTTTTTAAGATAAAAATATTATTCACAGCGTAGGATACATTTGGCTTTTAGGACGTATCCTAATATTTGATACAAAAAAGTGCATCTTATAAAGTGAGAAAAATACAGTATAATTTTTATATTGTCTTTTAAATATATATATTTCTTTCTAATAAAAATTTCTTGCAATATAATTGGAAGAAATTCCACAAATTTTTTGCAATTATATTGCAAGAAATTTTTAAAATGCAAATACATGCAAATTTTAATTTAAAAAACAAAATAAATTTACCTGAGCAGTCCCAAGCAGCTTCCAATTTGGTGTAACATAGAAAATAATACCTTCTTTAGCACCAGGTAATGTTACCCCACGGAAAAAAAGGATGACTAGAACCACATATGGAAAAAGAGCAGTAAAATAGACAACCTGAAATAAAGGAAAAACATAAAAATTAATATATATCATATAATTTATATAACGTTGTAAATCCTTTTAATGTTAAATACTATATGATATATTAGTGAATATATTAGTAATAATTTTGTTATGTAGCTCAAAAAACTCATGAACATCTATATTTTAAAAATATTTATTGTTACAATGTTTTGTAAAGGAAATATTATTTATAGTTATTCAAAAAAAATTTGAATTCATTTTATTTGACAAACCATTACTATAGAAGAGATAAATATGAATCATTAATTTTTCCTTCATAAGTGATTTAAAATTTATAAAAAAAAAAAACGAAATAAATCTTAAAAGTTTTTAAAAATAAAAGAATTTGTTGTGAGAAATTACTTATTGACACCTTTTTTGTTCTTTTGTTCAGAACACAAGCTATGAGGTTCTTTTTTATATACTTGTAAATTCTAATTGTTTTTTCTTTGTTAATAAATATGTTTTACAATTGTTTTTTAAATTTAAAATTTGTAGCCTAAAGAGGGGCTTGAAATAATTACCAATCTGAAATGCATAGTTAGGCATTGTGCTAATAAAGAGGATTGTTTTAATCTTGGTCTCTGTTTATTGTAGAAAATTAAGAAAGATGTGATAAAGATCACTTGTTTTGCTATTGAAGAAGAAATCTTTACTTGTAAACTTTTCTTTTCAACCATCCTTTTACTATCCAAAACTAATAATTCTGTAATTACTATCCAAAACTGTAATTCAATATTACTTGATTTTAAGCATGACAAAGCAAAATTCATTTCAATAACCAACATAAAAACAGAAAGATTGTATAAAATGTATAATAATAAAGGCAAAAAACAAAAGTTTCTAAAACAATGTTTTAAAATAAAAATTGAAAAATAAAATGATGTAGCAAGAACTACATCAAATCAAAAAGCACAATAAATAAAGATATAATTTTTCATAATGTTTGAATAATTAAAAAACTAAAAAAAAAAAATGCATTTAAATAAAATAATACAACCCATAATTTACTTTTAATTTCTATCACTTTTAAGCCATATTTATCTCCATAGCAAAAGAATAGATTATATAAAAAATATTCACAATCAGAAGAAACAATCAAATGTCTTTACATTTTGTCCTTCTTCAACAACCTAAGGAACACAAGTCTTTATTGGTAATACTACCAGGGTTGTGGAGTCAGAGTCAGAGTTGTCAAAAAATCCAGCAACTCTGACAAGTTTTTTACTTCCCAACTTGTTATGTATATAAAACGGAAAAGTATTGGAATCATGTCAAATTTGACCCTCCAAGTTTTTTGCAAATCTACACATTTGGAGACCTCCTGAACCCAAAAAATGTCAAATAAAAGGGGAAAATTCATGTGTGTGTGTTGGTGTCTAATTTGTTTAATTTCTTTATTCTCTGTTCTGAGATATTAAACAATATCTCAGAATGGGTAAAGTTTAAGAAACTAAATTTGACGCAGTAGCTTGTGTATAAAGGGGCATTAATATCTATTAAATTTTGGTTCTTAATTAAAGGTAGATAGAATGGAGACAGAAGGAGTCATGTGTCATATCTTGTGTGGTCGGATTTAATGACTATTTTACTCGTTATTAGCCTTCACAATTTTTTTTATAAAACTCGTCTTTACCCTCAAAATTAAGCTTTTTGTCATTTTATAATAGTACAGTAAACTGGCCGGATGGCCAAGCGGTCAAGGTGGCAGCCTACTGCTCTGGGGGACTCGAGATCGAATACAGATGGTTCAAGGAATTCCCAGGAATTTCGGGGGGTGGTCTGTTCGGATATGTTGGGCCCCGTCCCTCACCACCCGGTTGCCCCATTGTGGGCCTGGCCGAACCCATAATGGGCCTGCTATAAGAGGCCCTCTTAGTGCCCACAGGATAAAAAGAGTAAAAGAAAAAAAAAAATAGTACAGTAAAACTCGTTAAAGATGTTCTCACCTGAGATGTTAGAATGTGTATTGGGGCAGGATTTAGTTCAACTACTTTGAAGCTTAATAACTCCTGTGTTAAACCATCTGACTCCAATTTAAAAACCACAGACTTTATTAGGCTTCAAACTGGGTGAACAACTTGTGCCTCACATACAGTTTAACATCCATACACAGAAAAACCGAATGTTTTGCATATCTCAACATTTTGAGGTGTCCTGAATCCAAAAATGTAAAAACTTAGGAGGGGTTATCTTTTGACTGATCACTACAGTTTCCCTCTGTTATATATAACAGCCAGGAAAGTAAAAATTATCAAATACATATTTATATATTAACTGTGTCATTACTTAGAGGAGTCTTTTAGCTTTGGAATAAAAAAGCTTTTATGTTCTATCTTTATTAGAACTCTATTTATTGAATCTTTTATTCTGAGGTCATGTGATGACATCAGAATTTCCGGGTCTATTTTGGTAACAAGTCTGCCCCTGGTTGGAGTTGGAGTTGGAGTTGGATAGTAAGGCAAAGTTGGAGTCGGTAAATTTTTACACAACTCCACAGTCCCGAATACTACCACTCAAAAACTGGTTATACTTGAATTAAAAACTCTAAAAAAAACCTATAATCCCGCAATCTTTATCAAGGACATGTGGTAGATTTTCTCAGTATGATGCAAGTCTTCGAAATGCTACCCCTTAAATGCTGCTTATACTGCCCTCTTAAATGCTGCTTATACCACCCCCTTACAGTGCCACCTGATGCAGCTGTCTCTCTGTATCATAGCACAGCTTGGCCCTGATCTTTGTAATAGTGTAAATGTTTTTGCCCGTGTTGAACAGGCATTATCAGGCAAACTAAACCCTAGCTGCTGAAACAATGGAAGATTGATGTACGTGTGTGCAAAGGGAAGGTAACATAAGATGAGAGAAAGGGAAGGGGTAGAATAATAAGATTTATAGTTTGAAGAAAGACCTCCTTGCTGTGGGAAAGGAGTCAATATTGCAAAAATTAATAGTGGTGTTATTGAGGGTGGCATACGCATTTGCACATATAATAAAAATTACTGGATTATAGGTTTCTAGTGTTTCAATTCAAGTCTTTATGGCTGGAGTCAATCTTTTATTAATATACTAACTGAAATATTTTAAAAATGTTTTTATTGTGATTGTACCACCACCTGAGAAATTTTTAACATTTATACATAACTACCGTGTTTCCCCGAAAATAAGACATCCGCAGAAAATAAGACCTAGTGCATTTTTCAGAGCAAAAATTCATATAAGACACTGTCTTATTTTCGGGGAAACACGGTAGCTTACCCATCGCGCATTGCTGCGATCTCAGAAGAAATGAAATTCAAGCAAACTCGTTATGATAAAATTCAATTTACATCATTTCTATTGAAACTTATTATTATTAATCATTTTCATTGGGAAAACATTTCAAAGTGTCATTTCAACTCTATTTATTTATTGGAGTGCTTGTGGATACATGATATTTTTTGTTTTTCCGTCTGGTGCGTACATGAATAAATTAGAAGGTTTTCGGACGCGTGAGCTGGCCACATACAATTGTCCATGTGAGAAGCACGGATTCTCCAAATTTAGTCCACACACGTGCAGCGATTGTCAGAAGTGTGATATTCCCCATTTTTATATATACTTTTTAATCCTTTATAATTTTAATTATTTAATTGCTCCCTCCTCTCTTCCTTGGCACGTTGTGAAATTTCTGATAGTTGGATAATAAACTGTTTTATTGTAATTTGTCTTTTTAAATTATTTTGAGTTGATATTAAAATTTGGAAAAGGGGATCCCTAGATCGATAAAATAGGTGAATTTCCTTCTACAACTTCGGTTGTTGTTCGGGATACAGTTAAGGTTTTGACAAAGTTCGAGCAAATACATAATTAGCAAAAAAAAAAAAGTTAAAATAAAGTGATTAACCAAAAATTATTACAAATATCATAAATAACAAATGCATATATAGAGATATTTTTTGGAGGGGGAAATGGTCTTCACAATTTGAAATTGATCAAACACACAGTAAAATGCTTGTATACACATGTGCCATCTATCGTAGGATAAATGTACTATGCCAGAAACCTTCGCAGGAGTGTATTAAAAAACTTCCCAAAGTTTCACGGCAATCGGATAAACGGTGTGGTAATGCATGAAGGACAGACACTCATTTTTATATATATAGATAAGGCAGACAAGTAGCCTCAAATAAAAGATCAACTGCTCTGCCTGTAAAGACTATTGTGTTGAAGAAGCCCTGAAGTTGCTGAAAAAGACAAGATATGAAAAAATTTTATTGTTTCTTCTGCTTTATGAATATTTCTTATATTTGTTATTGTCCTTGGATATTTCATTACTGTATTAATTGAAAAATTTTTTAAAGAATAGTTAAATGACTTCCAACCACTTAACACTGCGTTGAATAATAACAATACACAAAAAACCTTTTTTTACGAGTGTTATGTCACTATTAAATTCAACAAGTACTTTCAATCTCCACCGAAGTCTGCTTCAGGTGGTGACTGGCCATGTTTCGACCCTACCGTCATGACGATGTTGCCAACGATGTAAATAAATAAATGTGCGCGTCGGGTTTCACCCCTCTGACCGACACTGTTCGAATTCCTCAAACAAGTACTTCCACGCCTGTGCAAGAGTTTCCCCATCCTTGTAGTTGATGCAGTTGCCCCCCAATAGCTTTATGGATCTCCCAGGCCTCCAGGTGGCGGATGTGATCCACACAGAACGCTTGTCTGATAAGTCTGGTGTTGCGGAAGTCCGCCCTTATTTCAGGGTCGGTGACGTAGGTCGATAAGGCGGTGGTGTGTCTTTTATGATTAATATCAGCTTGGTGTTCACATATTCGTTTCTATGTTGACCGGATGGTGGAGTTAATATAAACTAACTCCCTATTGAATCTGTCGTCCCTGATGGGAACGGAGTAAACACCTGGAGCTCTGGTTAGATCCATCGCGTCTTTGGCATTGCGCAGCAGGTCGTAAAGCGTGCCGGTTTTTAAGTACGCGATTTT